TGCTTATTACAAACTGCTCCCGGAGCCAGGGCAGGGCTGGAGGCCGTGACCCCAGGCAGCTCCTGGTCCTGAGGAGATGCAGGGAGATGGTGCTTTCCTGCCTTTCACATGACTGAGGAATACATCTCTGGTCATCTCACAAGACGTGGATGTGTTCTGCTGTAGCTGCCTGCCCGGTGGGTAGAGGACCCCACGTGAAGACAGAGGAGTGTCTGGGAGCTGGTGCTATAGTCCTGGCTCTGCGGTGCTGCACTGGCGTGACCCTGGACAGTGTCACCTGGATAACCTGTAATGTCTGCCCAGCTCTAGACTGCTCTGAAATCATGGGTAAAGATTAGTCATGGGATGAAAGGCTCCACGGTGAGGGTCTCTGAATGACAGCTAAAGACACCATCGAGAATAGGATCTGCTCTGCTCCCAACTCGGAGAGGAAAGAGAGCTCTTTAGCAGCTGCACCTCATCCATAGACTCCGAACTGGCTCTTTCTTGCTGAACGTATCTTCCGTAGGTTTCGAGTCGTTTAGAAAACAAACAAATTAAAAAAACAAACAAAAACATATTAATTTTGGCCAAGTCTAATCTGTCCTCAAATAAAGTTCCGCTGGGCATAGTCAACATTCTTCACTCAAACTTGGAAACTATATACAAGTGTCAGCTCAAAATGAATAAGAATTTTCTAACAACTGGAACTATGTAACAACTGGCTACTACGGGCCATTTCAAGGGTCAGTTGAGTTTCTTGTCACTGAAGGATGGCTTCTTTGTAAGAGTTGACAGCTTGGCCAAGATGACAACTTGGGGAGAAGGGAGGGCCATTTCCTGGATGGAAACCCACGAGGTAGTGAGCCCTCCCACCACAGAGGACTCCTGCATATCAGTGTCTTGTTATCTACCAGGGAAATGGGGCAAAATCTCCATAAATTCTTCATGGGGCCCACCCCGTTGCTGTGGCTGGAAGCCCCTATGCCGAATGAACAAATACTCACGGCAGAGCATAAGGCTGCTTTACCTCCCTTTACCTACAGGCAGGTAAATGTGTCTGACAGGTTTGGAAAGGTGAATTAATTGAATAGTTGCTTCTAATCTCTTCCATTGTTAGAAATTTCTGTGCTCTACCTAAATATACTATACAGATCAGAAAAGTATATAGGAAGCTGTTAAATGAGCCATTTTAACCAGCACACGTTTGAGATGATTGCTGTGGATTCTTCAAGTTTGTATGCATTGGTACGACTGGGATTCATTCTGCTATGGTGGCTAATTACTATTGACAGGTTATTGATCCATTGTGGGTTGGTTAATGCAAGTAAGAGAGTGATAGGAGTAGAATGAGAAATACTCGCTGAAATGGCCTTGATGAAACAGCTGAAACCTCTGAATCAGGAGCAAAGCAGTCAGAGTTCACAATTGCATTGTGTTGTCATGGCAATAGATGATTTTCATCATTTCTCAATGATAAAAAGAAATGAGGAGCTAAGAAGAAATCAGCCCCAGTGGAGAAAACACTGCTGGAGGATCAGATATAAACGTGTGACCCCTTCCCTACAGGGTCCTATTTGGTATGTGTTTCTTTTTTCATTTTTTAAATAGAGTTGGGATCCTGCTGTTGCCCAGGCTAGAGCACAGTGGCACAGTCATATCTCACTGCAACCTCAAACTCCTGAGCCCAAGTGATCCTCCTGCCTCAGCCACCCAAGAAGCTGGGACTAAATTCAGGTGCAGGCCACTACGCCCACCTAAGTGTTCTCTTTTGCTCCCAAACTCCTGGCCTCAAGCAATCCGCCTATCTGGCCTCCCCAGGGGCTGGATTATGGAAGGATGTGAGCCATCTTACCAGCCTGGAATATGTTTCTGATTTATACTGGCTAACCTGAGTCAATTTTATCATTCGAGACCACAGTCAAAACTCATCTCCTCCAATGAACTTTCCTTGACTTCTTTCACGCCTCTGATTTCATAGCCAGTGCTGCACATTTACCACTATGACACTGGTTACTAAACACAGGTAACACTGGATGCAAACGGCCTCCTGTTCAAAGTGCTTTCTATGTGTTAGCTCCTTCAAGTGTCATGGCAAGGTTAAGTGATAAATATGATGACTCCTTTCATTTTAAAGACAATGAACTTCAGATATGGAGAGCCTGGGTTACTTGCTTGCCCAAGGTCACAGAGCTAGTAGAGTTAGCATTTCAGCCCCGAGCCTGGTCTTTGGGTCACTGTGCTACACGCCAGCCTGGTACTCAGCAAGCACTGAGTGTAAACTATGGAGACTCCTCCTTCTGGCTCCTCCAGGGCCCTCCTGCTACAGTGGTCTTCCCCAAGCATGCGGCATGATGGTTCTCGTGGCACGCTTCCTGGCGGATGGAAATGAGAGCTGCTGGCCGGGCTACCTTCGGCGGGTGTGTGTTACCTGCTGTACTGTTCCCATGTCCCTCACACCAGAGACACACCCGGACTGTTTTAACCAGCCCTTCACGTGAGGAGAGGGAAAGAAGTCGATGTCTCCAGGCCAATGTGCTCTTTCCTTATAGCTCTTGACTTAAAGTTGTTGGTGAGGGAAAAAATCAGTTTAATATGCATATATGTCCCATTCAAATTATATTATCTCCATATTTACATCTGTGTGCACGTCTCTGTGTGTATACACACGTTTATCACTCTTAGAGTCACTGTTACGTGACTACTCTCTAGTCATAAAATCAGAAATGGGGCTTGGAAGGTGAGATGCGATGCAGGGAGGGAGTGTTCTCCCTCCCTCCTCTCCTGCAGTCCCTGTCTGCCTGGCCAGCCCAGGAGTTGCACTAGCCTTTCCTAATCCCCTGGGTGCATCCACTGAGCACCTGCCACCTTATGGTACCCAACCCCAGGGGATGTGCAGCTGGGGACAGGAGGATGCTGTGTCTCTTCTGCAAAATTCAGCCCATAAGCCACTCTGTTTAACCCACTGGGCTGTCTTGAATGGAGCCTGGTAAAGAGGGTACAGTGACGTTGTTGGGACCAACATCCTTCTATCACTTGAGATGAGTCACATGATGGAATATCTTTCCACCATTGGAGTGTGTGGTATGTAAAACCCAGAAACAACCAGGTCACTTCAAGTTGACACTGCGTCTGGGCTCCTCTGTTCCTCACTTAAGTTTGAACGCCCCCGCGAGCACAGCACCAGGCTGGCTGTTAAGTAGCTTCTCAAAGAGCAGCAGGAGTGAGGCGCCAGGGTCACAGGTGGCAGTGGAAACTCTTTCCGCTTTGGGTTTTTGCCCATGCGTTAACCACTGCGTGTGTGCACGCTGCTCGCCACAGTTTATGAACGTTCTGTTTTTAGGCCTAACTTCTTGAAGCAGCAGTTTACCAGTTTCCTGATCATGCTTTATTTAGAATAATTTCTCTACATTTTCAACTTAGCAGTAAAGAAGGAGAACATTTTGCGTCAAATATTTTTTTATATAAACATGTTAAGAGTGACTCAAGTAACTGTTTTTATATCTAAAACATTGAGTGATATTTAGTAATCAATTTTCTTAAAGTTTACATTTTTTGGTCACATTGGCTGAAATTTGAGTGGCTGCTTACATGTGCAGAGAGAAATGCAGAATGTGGTGGTGTCTGATGACCCAGTAAAACAACCCACCTACTGGAAACATCCAGCTAACTGAGAGAATGAATATACGAATAAATAATGGAGACCCGACAAGTGATTTCCAGCTGATCAAATGACATGAGCCACTTTGGTTACTCACTTTACAAATTATTCTCCGGAGGGGAGGTTGCATGCTGTAGCCTCTACAAGATCATTCTGGGCCAAGGCAAGGTTGGCAGGGGGTTCTGGATAATAAAAGTTTATGTATCTATAAACTTTGTCCAAGAAGATTCCAGATGAGAAAAGATGGCTTGTTGAGCACATGTGTATAGTTAAATGCATCTCTAATCAAATCTTCTATAAATATTTAAAATGAGACCAGTTTTACTACTCAATCCTGAGGTACCCAGACAAATAAGTTTGCTGTAAAGTTTGTTTCCTGTCTTTAGCCATGACCAAACAGTCCCCGGGTCCAGGATGGTTCACTGATAAATAGGACTCCACAGGCTTTTCCTTGGCCTCCCTTTTTTTTGAGGCAGTCTCACTATGTCACCCTCAGTAGAGTGCTGTCGTGTCACAGCTCACAGCAACCTCAAACTCTTGGGCTTAAGCAATTCTCTTGTCCCAGCCTGCCAAGTAGCTAGGTCTATAGGTGCCCACCACAATGCGGGCTTTTTTTTTTTTTTTTGGTTGCAGTTGTCATTGTTTAGGAGGCCAAGGCTGGGCTCAAACCCACCAGCCTCAGTGCCTGTGGCTGGCACCCTACTCACTGAGCTATGGGCCACTGGCCTTCCTGTTTTAAAAATCTCCTCAAAGAAATGAAAGACCTGACTCACCCCTTCTCACTGCCACGGCTCTGGCACCCTGACAAATGCCTGCTTCCCAGGGGGGATGCCCTAGGCCCTAGCGTGGTGCCCTGTAGGTGTCATGAGGGCATACTGGTGCTGGCAAGATGGGAAGGACAGAATTTATTTGTTGAATTGATGACTGAAATGAGTTCTTTTTGCCAGTAATTAACTTTCCCATTTCTTCAATGCCACGGCTGCTGAATCCCAATTCTGTTACTCATGGCCTGATAAAGGTTCTTTCCTGGACCTCAGTTTCCTCATTCATTTAATGGGAATAGAAACACCGGCCTTTTATAGCTCATTGAGCAATGCCAGAAAGAGCGCAGGTGAAAACACCTGGTGAGCATGACTCCCTCCACTGTAGCTCCAGCTCTCCATCTGCCTCTGCCATGGGCGAGGGCTCCCCCTACAAGTGGGAGCTGTTGGCTGGCCCTCTGCTCCGGCAACTAACAGTGCCACAGATTTGGGGTCAGAAATAATGCTTTTTGCTTTGGCACTCTCTTTTTTTTTGTATATTTTTTAGACCCAGTTAAAGAAAATTCCTGGAAGGTGGCTTTCCTGGCTAGAGGTTGAACACTTGTTGCAGAGTGTCTTCCAATCACCACTACAGAACAAGCGGGGAACGGAATGGGTCCCTCTGCTAGGCTTGCTTTCCCTCCTGCTTCCGAAGCTGGCAGGACATGAGGGTCTCTCCAGATGTGATCCCGGGAGGTTGCTTTGGTACTCTTTTAAAGATTCTAGGCAATATCATCTGGTCCGGGAGATTTGGTGACACCCTCAATTAGATCTAAAAAGGGGAATTTACTATGATTTGTCTCATGCTGACTCTAAAAGAGACTTTGAGGAAACCAGCACTGCCATCGCTGTGAACGCCAGCACTGCCTCACTACTCTGACCACTGAGCATTCCAGGGAAAGTTACAGGGCTGGCACTGGAAACTTGAAATGCTAGAATTGGGGTGAGTAGCAAATAGGAAAATGAGGTCAGGAGCACGGAAGATCAGAATCAAGATGCTGGGAACAATCAGGTTCAGGAATAGGATGGTCCGGGTGCAGCAGGCAGGTCTCCACTGTCCAAGCTGGAACACAGAAGGGCTAGGGAAGCCCTCCAGTTGGAGAGGGGCTATGTGACCCCTCAATTTGGCTGTGATTGGGTGGGGGCACACCCTTGTTTTCCTTGAGTCCCTCTATCCCTTGACCAAGCTGACCACTCCCATCTAAGGGAGGCCCCCCTCAACACGCCCCTCTCCCTCCTGAAATCCCTTTCCCCAGTGTCTCACTGTGGAGCTCCTGCTTCTCTTTGCCCACCATGGAGGCTCAGCCCCGTCTATCACCTGCAGGAATTTGCAATCTCACCTGCTCTGTTGTTGGTCCACACCTGCCAGGACCTTTGACCTTAAAAACTCCCCTCCCTGCTGTTTCTCAAGCTATTTTCTCTTTGGATCCACACGGTGTGCTCTGTTAGTTTGTGTGGCACTGATACCTGTTTTGTGTTATAATGATTTGTGTGTGTTTCATCTTGCTTATTACCCTGCAAACCTCACGAGAACAGAGACTGTCTACCATATTTATGTAACACCTGCAGTTCCCGGCATAAGATCTTATGCTAGTGGGGCCAATAAATATTTACTGTATTAAATTTTATGATAATTCTGATTTCCAAGAACAGGTAATCACATTTCCCCCCATTTTTTCCTTCATTCCCAAATGCAGTCACAATAATATGATCACAATTACACAGTGGTTTTTCTATAAATAAACAGCTACCAGTTCCTGTTTTATCCTTCTCAGACTCTTAATATGCTTTCCTAGCTGTGTGAGTCCTAAAACATTTTCTAAGGCAACTGTCATTTGATTTCTTCAGAAAACATTATTATCGTATCCTATTCTGTGAGCTCCCCGTCATGACTGTGGACAGCTGAAACCTTTCAGATTGCTCCCTGGTATCCATCTGCAGTTTCCCCGCCTTGGCCTCATGTCAGTGGCACACTATCATGGCCCTGGGCAGGCAGGTGGTCCCTGTCACTCTTCCTCACATGGTGCTGTGGTACCCAGTGACCCACTACCCATTTGGCTTCTGTGGCTGCCCTCCCCCGTGCACCTGCCCTCTCCTGGTCTCTTTGTTTCCATCCATATCCTCACCAGCTGCCCATCATCTCCATTCTTCCTTTTCCTTCTGGGGCCCTCTGGGACTGTGTGGAAGGAGGTACATGCTGTGGCTTTGGCATGTGCTTGGGCTCTGGGCCCTGCCAGCTGTGTGAGTAGGGAGATGGCTCTCTCATGCTCCCTTCCCCAGACACACTGCTCAGTCCTCTCCTGAGAACACACACCAAGAGTCTGTATCAACTCAAGTCTTAGACTTCAAACGTGATGTTCCAACCTAGCTGATTTGTAGTGGCTTTTGTTTTTTCCAGTTGAGGCAATGTGCTGTCCAAGACTATTCAGCTAGGAATGTGTGGACAGCCCAGTCCAGGCCAGGCTTTGGCTTAGGGCCAGGAAGAGCCTTTCTCTTTGTGAAGGAACCACTAAGTCATGTGAAGACTGAGCCTACAGTATTCTTGGGGGTCAGGATGAGGCACGGAGGACAGACCAGTCCTGGGATAGGCAAATGGGAGTAAAGCCATGCCCTCCTGCAAATGTGTGAAGTCTGCACCTGCACTCTGACCCTGAGACCCCAACGGCACCTGGCACCTGCCACGACCAGAAGTGGCAGGTCCACTATGTTCTTCTCTGAAATCCACTGAAGATCAGCCTGCGGCATCCAATGGGAAGAGAAGACGCTTGAATGAGACATATATTGGCCCTATCCTGAGAAAACCCCAAACCACTGGAATTCCTTGTAAAGCTGGGAAAGGGACAGCCATGCAGGAATAGCTATAGTGAGAAGGCTTCAATCAAGCTACCTGTACATTCGATAATGATTTCAAGTGTGAGAATTTATTATCTAATCAAAAGGATTTGTGATTACTAATTAGTTGCACTGTATCCAATCAGGAAATTCGTGCCTAATTGTGAACGCTAACCTTTACCTGCAGCGCATGCTGACTGGCAGTGTCAGGCTCGGGAGTAACCAGCCCCCTCTCTGGGTTCTAGGTCCCAACACAAAGGAGCCAGTGGAGTGGGTTGTGAGACTCTGGGCCCCTGGAGGTACAGAAGGCCAGGGGAGCGACTAGGAGAGGTTGGTTCATCAGGCCTGTGCCACCTGATGAGCCCAAGTGAAAACTGCATTTTTTTGAGGTCCAGGTGGGAAGTGTAGAAAGGGGCTCTGGAGCCGGGGTTAATAGTCTTACAAACATAATAAATATTTCTTCCTCTCCCCAGGAAGCACACCGAGAGTAAAATGAATTCTTACTACTCTGGATAAACACTAATGGTCTCCGGGGGAAGAGCCAACTGGCAGGTTTGAAAGATTGGGTTAATCAGACACAGGGAAATTTCTGATTAATTGGCCAATTACTTTGAATTTTGAGTGAGCCAAGGCAACGTTAGAGAAATAGCCTGACTGACTGGGAATAAGTTCAATAGCCCGAGGCCGAGATTTTTAAGCTTACAAAAGTAGAAATACACTGGGATTGTGTGCCTGATTTTTATGCGCTCTAGTTCCCCAAATGCATAGGGCCTGTAACTATTTTTCAAGACCACAGTGATACAAAATTACTTTGGTTTTGAACACTTATGAAAAACCTGACATCTCTTAAAATAACTTTAGGACTCTGTTTCTCAACCTATTTTCTCTCATGGCACACTTGAACCTAGAAGCTTCCGTGGCACACTTCAATTGTGTTGATCCAAAAAAAGAGCAAAAAGAAGAAAATACTTACGGTGCTTGGAACTTCTTTTGAAAATAATTAATGATCTTTAAACATTTTTGTGACACACCTAAGATTTCTCATGGCACACAGGTTGAAAAATCACTACTTTAGGAGACGGCAAAATTTAGGAGAGAGGGGTCACTGTGTTTGCTGACGGAAAAGGGCCCAGGCTACGCAACGCAAGCCCTTCCTGAAAGGCCAAGGTGAAACTGCCTCACCTGGTGGGGGCGTGTTTCTGCTCCTCCTCCTCATCAGTGTCGCTACTGATGGTGATGACGCTGACCGTAGGGCTGGGGGTGTCGGGAATGACAATTGTCTGCCGCTGCCGCTCCCTGGTGGTGCTGGAGGCCACGTCGCCCCAGCCACATGTGACTGCGGTACTGCTGGCCGGGCTGCTGTGCACCATGGCGCAGCGGGGAGGTGTGTTCTCCTTGACGCGTTTGGATCGCTGAGGGGAGCTGATGGCCTGAGAGGAGGACACCTCACAGGTGGACACATTTCTGTAACAACATAACCATACAGGCTCACAGTCAGGCCGTGACTCCTTCCAAGGAGCCCAGCTGCCTAGAAATACCAGCTTTGCCAAATCTCCATAAAAAATACAGTAGAACCTCTGTAAGGTGACCACCCAAGGGACTGTCACAAACTGGTCAACATATGGAGGTCAACATACTGATCAACATAAGGAACTAGGTCTACTGTACTGATAGGTACATGTGGTCAGGTCTGGTCTATCTGAAAATTAGATCAATGCAAGGAGGTGGTCAGTGTAGGCAAGTGGTTGATTATGGGGGTTCTACTGAAGTTTGAGGGCCAGGCCAATCTCAACCTGTAACTGGGAAGGTGGCCACCTCCAGTGGTCTTTCCATTAGTTACTATAAGATGGGAGACAGCAGCCTGGCCTCCTCTGGGCTCTGGTTTGGAGCTATATGCCAATTCCTGGGACAACGGGTACAGCCAAGGCTGCAGGGAATGGGTTGTACCCCAGAGGTGTATGGGTCTTGCAGGGCCAGATGTAACAGCTAGGACTCAGCTGAGTCTGCATCATGCAGCCCCTTTGTCCTCAGGGTCAAGGTCCTACTTTGACCTCTGCTTTGTCGTACCTTAAGTATCTAAATGTACTTAAGTCTTGTTTGGAGGGGGGCAGTCAGAGAAGTGGTGTTTAGCAAATAAAGCTTGGGTTTCCTTGTTAATGGCTGTTCTACTGTTGATTAAACTAAAACATTTATTTCTAAAGAAGTTCAGGATGTAAAGGAATTAATCTTGGTGAACAATGGTTCAGCTCTCTCTCCTCCTCTGGAAAAAGGACACGACCATTCAAGGATGCATGTTCGTAGTTTAAAAAAACAAAACTAGACAAAAACAAAAACTCAAAAATGATTTTTCTGGATTTTGAAAGAGACTTCCAGTCTATTTGAATTGTAATAAAAATTGGGAAAAGTGCAAGAAGAAAAAGCATGCTTAGAGAGAAACCTTTTAATCTTGATTTTCACTGAGTTAAAATTCCTTTTTAAATTAGCCAAAGGCATTTCTGTTAACTTTAGGGAAAAAATACACTTTCTTCCCTTCCCATTAAACTCTCTGCTGACCCTGGGACAAGTCAGAGAATCCCTTATATCTGAAATGTTGGGAAACAAAGGTGTTTTGGATTTTGGATTTTTTTCAGATTTTGGAATATTTGCATATGCATGAGACCTCTTAGGAATGGGACCCAAGTCTAAACACAAAGTTCATTTGTTCCATATGCATAGTATACACATGGCCTGAAGGTAATTTTATATAATATTTTTAAAACTTTTATGCATAAAACAAAGTATTTTTTCCCCCTCTTTGTGAATCATGAATGAAAAAGTCTTGACTGTGACCTGCCACGTGAGGTCAGGTGTGGAATTTTCCATGGACA